CCCTCATTTTGACAACCACCCACATGGCATGTTTTGGTTTACGTAGGGGTTTTGAGACTGAGGATGTACATAGGGGTCATAAGGGGTCTAGGCTTCAGCGCGCTGGACTTTTTTTGGGTGATTTGAGGTAAGAGGAGGAATACACCCGGATACTTCTCGCCCTCTTCTTTTGGTGTGCCTGGCTGGTGCAGCTTGGTTCGGGCTGTTTTTGTTGCTTGCGTCTGGGGCTTCTCCGCTCCTGCCCTTCTGAGATGCAGTGTGTCTCCGGCGCAACACAGCCCGCCTGGCGAACCGCAAGGAAGCGAACAGGAAAAACGGGACAATGCAAAGCCCCTGCTCGGTTGTGCAAAGTTGGAGGGTGTCGGGATATCTACCCCGTCGATAGGCCATTTTTTGCGGCCTGCTCCTGGTCCTGAGGGTCTGGACTTGGCCCTGGGTTCCAAAGAAAAACAGGCCACTATAGGCCCAGTAAGATTTCGGGTTGCCGTTGGAGTTCAGGGTTTAGGGCTCTGCGCGCATTTTTTCTTTTTCTAGGCCTTCGCCAAGCAGAGGTAGTGGCTTACACGGCAGTCATCGCCGCTTGCAAGGAAGCCTTGTACCAGGCCAAATGCATGCTTTGCGAGGTGCAGTTGGTCGGGTAGAGAGCAGGACCATTTGCATGAACCCACTCAAGCTCAGGGTTCTGCGCAGGTTCCGCTAAACACGTTTTGTTGCAGGTGCCACCGAAGCTCTCCGATGCGACGCAGCATCGAATGAGGCCCTAGCTAAGTTCATGAGGTTTGTTTTTGCAAGCCCGTGCACATGCAGAGCTTTTGACCTTTGCGAAAGATCTTTTATCGATAGACCGTAGTTGTGTATATGTATACGAAAGAAAAGTATACGTATCTGAACATATGTTTTCGTTAGTTTATATTTCTCTATCTATAATATAATATAATTTAGTGTGATATAATAAATATAATAGAATATAATATAATATTATACTGTATATGTATTCTATATATTATATGTTATATATATATATATGTATATATATGTATATTATAGACAATATACAGACGAACACACAAACAACCAGTGTCAGAATTGGAGCTAACCCCGAACCCGAAAAGTCTTGAGGCAATGGCCCCGGTCCCTGGGCCTCTTTGCGGAGCTGCAGAAGCGTGCGCTGCAGCCCGACAGCGTGGCGAACCTGGGACCAATGTCACTTAAGCCTCGAATCTCCGTGTACCAGGGTTTAAGCTTAAGGTTTCGTGCCTGGACCACCCTTACCCCCACAGGTCACACAGACTCTCGACTGATAATGCGCAGAGATGCCAAAGGCCCCTGGCTCCTCGGATGAGCTATACGGTTAGGGTTTAGGGTTTAGGGTTTAGGGTTTAGGGTTTAGGGTTTAGGGTTTAGGGCGGTATACTTGGTCTAGTGAGTGCAGTATGTTAGATGCAAGGGTACGCAACGGTTCTGTGCAACAGCTGCCGTGCCCACATTCCTTGGGGAAGCAAGCACACAGCATTTGTTGGAGCCCAACGAATAGTGATCCACTCCTTCTCGCATTCCCTGTATCTCATTATGGTGAAATTATCCTTTACAGCATCACAGTATCACAGTAACATTACAATATTGGCATATCAAGCTATCATGGTGTTGCAGTCATACGGTGTTGCAGTCATTCAGCGTTGCAGTGTTTTAGTGCTGCAGTGTTGAAGTATTATAGTATCACGCTGACAGTGTATTATGGCATTCTGGCATTACGGTACTATGGCATCATCTATGGGATTATTTCCTATTGTCCCATTGCAGAATTTTTGTATTCTAGCATTCAGGGCTTATGGTACTTGCGGTAGCTCATGAGGCCCACAAGCATCCCTAAACCCTAAACCCTAAACCCTAAACCCTAAACCCTAAACCCTTACGGTAGCTCATGAGGCCCACAAGCATCCCAAGAGCCCGGCATCCTAGGACCGGGTCTGTGATCGCCGTCTGCGGGGCAGAGCGCCAGTCAGAGCCCCCGGGCTCTGATACAAAGGGGCCTCAGTGATTACGAGTACTAGAATGGTTCTTTGTGGTACTTACACAATAATATATCTTTGTGATACTTACACTATAATATGCTCAACAATCAACCTTCTCTATTGCCTCATATTTTTTAGCCCATACATCGGCCAGCCATGCATGCTGCTGGTCTATCGATACCCTTCCAGTGTTTCCACTCCTATCTTTGCTGATCTCAGCCTTCTTGGTGTGGTCTTCTCAAAAGCTTGGAGATTCTCGCCTCTTGCAGCTTGATGACATGCTGTGTCGCTCAAACCCCAAGCCCAAACCCCTCCAAAACCCTCAACAGGCTGTCCCTCGAAATCTTCCGGCAGATGATGGCAGAGACGGTGGAGACGGACCTCACCATGCCCCATGCCCTGTTTGTCGGGTCCGCCGAAATCCGCAAGTATTTGGCATGTAGATTGGGAAGCTTCTCCACTGTTGCTCTTACGCTAGTAGCCGCTAGTGGTTTTTGTTTGTGTTACTGTTCCTGTTCCTGTTGCGTTCTTGTTTTTGCGTTACCATTGCCGCAATGGCTGTTTCCGTTCTTCCGGAGATTCTCATGATTGCAGCGTTTGCCTCCTGCATAGGAGGGACCCGAAACCCAGGCTCTTGTATTGAACGCCCGAACCGTGAGCAACTCAAACCATGCCACCGGAACCCCCAAGTCGCTGAACATCGCAACTGAGGCCTGATCCGATCGATTTACCCTGTTCTCATCTTCGGGCAAGCTCACTTGCCTGAGGTACAACATCCTAATCGATGCCTGTAAGCTCAGCAACGATGCGGATCAGGCAGGGAGGGACAAGTTCCTTTCAAGGTGCGGGTGCTTATAGCTAGCTCGTTCTAGGCCCATGACATTGCATTGCTCTACTCTCTGTCGTGCAGAGTGCCGAGGGCGCCTTCTGATTGCGACGGGTGTGTGTGTGTGTGGGAGAGAGTGAGAGAGAGAGCGGAGCAGGAGAGCTCTACTGTTTTATTTAGAGCTCATAGGCCCCTTTTGATCCCAGCGCTCTTTGTCCAATCGCTTGTCAGGCTTTCGAGCTACTAGAGGAGCAGAGCGGCAGCACCTATGGGGGGGGGTCGAAGTGTGAGCTTTCTGGGCGGGTGGTCCGTGTGCTTTGTCAGGGTTCCCCGTTCCAGATCTCCTCCGGATCGGGTTCGGAACGAGGGGTTGCGGGTTTCGAGGGCAGACAGGGATAGCAGCTAGCAACACCTGTCCCAGGTCTTTGGGCCGTTTTGTTGGTTATGTGTCTGCTGCTCGTGGGAGAGAAGGTTCAGATCGCAAAATGGCGCCCTTGCACTGTGCAGAGGCTTCTTTGCAGGCGCCTCCAGCCGAGTGCCGGGGGCCCGAGTTCGGCCCATGGCTCCTCAGGGATTTAGGGTTCAGGGTTTCGGGTTCAGGGTTTAGGGTTTGGATTTAGG